CTGGGCTCTCGATGCAGCAAGGGGGAGAATGGGCGTTGATAGAAGTGACCCTGAACGCCCTTTCTATCTATGCTGCGAGAGAGCCCAGCCCATCCCTTGATTCGTCCGGAGAGGGTAAGTCATATTTCTGTATTCGTTTGTGCTTTCAGAGACACCTTTCAGTCTGTCAAGTATCTTCGCCAAAGATGGGGTCTTTTCCGGGGGCTGGCTTTTATATCTTAGTACAGACTCAGCTAAATGACATCATAGGAAGGAGTCAACCCATCCTGGGCTCTCTCGCAGCATAGATAGAAAGGGCGTTCAGGGTAACTTCTACCAAAGCCCATTTTTGTGTTTGTGTTTGCATGACAGCTTCAGTCCACCTTTAACCTAGGAAAGCATGTTACCTCAAAAAGTTCTGTTGGTAAGTAGAGGTACTGGTAAATATACAACAATGGTTATATACATACTTTTTGTTGCTTCATACTAAATCTATAAAAAGTTAATGAACACATTCTTAGTTTATGATTTTTAACAATTGCACTAATGCGCACACATGCTTGGTCTCTCTCTCTCACACACACATACACACACCCCTACCAGAATCCTATTAACACTTACTAAAACCAGAATATTTAATTGTTCTGTTAGCATGTGAAATAAAGGCTGTTTTTGGTTCAGAGAATGCTGCTGCTTGGTTATGTCATGGCATATTTCTCAAATTCTCTAACTTTCCTTTATCTTAAAGAACCAGACACAGATTCTAAGTTTTTCTGTTCCTGTAGCAGAAGCTGTTTAGAAGCTTCTATCTCTACTCCAGCATGTGTTGCTTTCTTGCTAAAAGAGTCGGTGTTATCTGCCATCGGTGAGCACATCTGGAGGAGTTGGCCTTCAACAATAAGCATCTTAATTAAGTCAAAGGAGTTGCTACATCAATTCTTTATAAATTTTTTAAGTGCTGATGAATTAAATGTCCTAGGTGGAGATTTAATTTAAACAGACTCCCTATGGAAGCCCAAAATTATCAATTCTGTTTGGATAATGTTGGACTTCCATAGGAATCTGATCAAGTTTGGAACCATCCCATCAGTTCCAAATGACAATTTAATGCAGTGATGGTGACACCAGCCCATCCTATTCACGTTTAATTTTCTAGAGCTGCAGAGACCACAATGAGACTGGTGTGCTCTTGCCTCCAGATCCTCTGAAAATTGCATGCGAGGGCCATCACGAGAAAAATCACATGAGAGAATGGCATCTTTCCTGCACTTTTTGGAGACTTCAGAGGTGATGCGAGAGCATGCCCTCCTACAGGATTTCCAGAGGTCACGCAAGAGCACCCCCCCCCCATTTCTTACGCAGCCTCTGCTGTGCCAAAAAGCACAGGAAATCACAAGGTTTTCAGAGGCTCTAGAGGCCATGCAAAAATAGGTGTGCTCTCTCCTGCAACCTCTGGATCCTTTGAAAATCATGGGAAGAACAGAAATGCCTTTTCACACTTTTTGGAGGCTGCAAGGTCAAGCAAGAGTATTCTGAAATTATATCCACGATGAAGGTCTCACACAATCTAGAGCTGCCTCTGATAGAATTTTTTGTTTCCTGAGAGAGATCTGGGACTGGGCAGAATAATTATTTTTTTTGTAGGGTTTCATGTATAGAAGCTAACTAAACTTTAAAAAAGCATGCAACATGCAAGCATGGTGAATACAAATATTTACAGTCTTGTTTTTAAGAGGTTCTAAATGTTTATAAAAATGTAAAATTAGCAGAAGCACAAAAAGGAGAAAGCCAGAAATTGGATAGTCTTTTTTCCTTTCTTTATTTTTTGGTATTTTAATTGCCAAAATTGCTCTATCTTCCTTTTTCCTTTTTCAGTATGCACAAAACATTAAGTAACGGTACAGTGAAAATCTTATTACTACATAATCGGCTGAAGACTAAAATCTTTAATCTACAATGAATACTTTGGTATAATCTGCAGCCTTTTTTAGTGTTATATTCAATTCTGGATGAAAAAGCCAAATAATGTTACACTCATTAATATTGACATTAAAAAACTAACCTTAGGTTTTAAAAAACCCTGTAAGACATAGGGCTTTATGATATTAATGATTTCATCTTTTTAATAGCTATGGTTTTCCTAAAATTGAACACAAAGAATATTCATAATATAAAGAATAATTTCAGTTATTTTTCCTTCTGAAAAAGAACTAGAGATTGAACAAGGAAAGTTTCTTAAAAAAACTTTGACATCTATAAAATCTGTTTGGCTAAAGTTTTGGAAGTTAGCAATTAATTGAGGCATATTTAAATGAATGTAAGCCCATTGTTTTAGCCATGTGCTGTAATTGCAGAGAAGGGCTTGTAATCTTCTGAAGGGCATTTAGAACAATTTGCTTGGGAAGATGGGGATTGATGAGTTTTCCATTTGTCGATGGTTTTTTTGTTTTGCATGAAAAAACCATTTTGGAATTTATCAGAGTGTTTCAGTTTCTTATTCCTGTGTATGAACAGCAATGCAATTTCTTTCTTTTATCTGGTGGTACAATACAAACCAGCTTACTGTGCCAATACTAAATAGTTTCTTTAGTTCTAAAAAGGAGCTAAATAAAATCCAAGTAAACTTTAACATTTTGGCTGATTGTTTGATATACTTGCCAGCTGAACATACGCAGGCTGCAAATGAAGTTTGCTGACTTGATTAATTCTCCTTTTGAGTCAGTGGATTTTATCTTTATTTTTCATCTTACACTATGACTTGACATTAAAATTCTAACATTATAGGTCTTCCAGTTTTACTGATGTGTTAGTGCCTTTAAATCTTGTACATTTGTAACTCTTAATATTTGTTAAGTCTACCGCATAAAGGACTTCGGTTATTGTGTAATATAATGATGTGATGAATATACATTTTTTGTGGGGGAGCGGGGAAGCTTAGAAGTTCATTTTGGTATACTTTGTCTTTGGCCAAATTTCCCAAACCACCAATGGGTGGAAATAATGATTGCGACTGTATCTGTGTCTGTATAAAAATATGTTGCAGATTACCTCTCGGTATAAGTAACATTTGCTAATGGAGTAGTTAACATTTCTGTTTGATGCTTGAATATTTTTTCTCGCATATTTACAACATCACTTTTATTTTTCTGTTCTAGTGCTAGACTCTTAATTTGCATGTCCTTTATGCTGGAAATTTGCCAGGTAGAAGTGGAATTAATACAAGCAGCCTTTAAAATAATGTCAATTCATTTCTTATTGTATAGCACTAATTCTGCAGATTATGAAAAGTTGTACAGCGATCTGAGGAAAGATCTGAAGCCTAGTGAACTTTCTGTAAAGAAGTAAACATTCTTGAGGAAAGGGTTTTTGGGAAATCTTAGATTTTCTATCCTTGCTGGTCCTTGCTGTTACAGTACGCATTGTTTATTATTGGATAGTTTTTAATCTCCTGTTTTTTTCAATGTATGCCTGTCTGAGTGTCACAGAAATGTTAGTAATGAAAAGTAATAAAGTGCCATTGCTGCTTAATCCCCTTTCATACTTTCCTATTTAAATCTCTCACCGAAACCATTAGTATTTTAATTTGCACTCTTGTCTAATGACCCAGTTTGTGTATGCTTTCTCTGCATTTCAGTTCTTTCCATGGTCTTATTCAGATCCTGTAACTGGGGCTAATTATTGCAACTGCCAAGCTAGCAAGATGAATTCACACATACATATTCATTACTTGACAATCACTATGTACAAAAGACTCTTCATAGGTCAAAAGTACCCAGATGGGACTTTTTTGTCTTTTTTTTGTAGCACTTTTCACCCTGTATCAGTTTCTGCTCATGTTGTTAGTAAACTGGATACTTCAAGATACGGTTTTTAAAAACTGTATTTAAAATACAGATATAGAAAAAAAAAAAGTCTGTCGCCAACTCAAAAAAGGGTGAATAGTGATTATCTTGTGGGGGGAAAAGCCAGAAGCTAAATATAGTGATTAAAATAAACTTTTAAAAAATTACCTGTAATTATCAGGGGAAATAGCCATAGAATAACTATAAATAGCCATATAAATTAATTCAGTTGTGAAACCTAATATTACATCAAGACCATAAACATGTTGTATCATTTTCTCACTTTTAGAATAGAGACTTTCCCAAAGTAGATTAACAAATTAATATCATGGATCCATTCCTTAACATTTGGAGGACAACCTTTTTCCAGTTACCTAAAATAATCCTCTTTTGCCATATTCCAAGATTAATAGAGCCAAAGTTCTTCATGAGATAACAATGCCATGTTTAGAAATATAATTTAACATCACATTGGGTTTGTTAATTTCCAATTTTTCATATCACATTTAAATATATAACAAATGCTAACTTTCATTTCATGTTTTATAAAATTGAATTGTTGGTTTCTATTCAAACACTCTTTTAACCATTGGAAGTAAGTCAAATTGAAAACATCATTTCTTAAAAGTTTTGAAATAAGCGATTCAAAATCAGCTATTTTAAAATATTAATCATTTATTTAGTTCAACTATTCCAGTAAAACAGCTTTCTTGTTATTTTTATATTTAAGTTGCACCACAGCATGTAATTTTGATTAAAATGTAAACAGTTATTAATAAATATATCTAGTAGCTTTCAAAGCAGAAGATGAAAATCTTGTTTTAGTGTACTTGTCAAACTTTCAAATATGTACATTTGCTTCTATCAAAAGATTCCTTGTTATTGTGGTGAAAATAGGAGGAGGAAGGAGTATTAGTTATCCTCACTGACTTGAGTTATTTCGAAAAATAAAAGCCAGAAACTATTCGTATAAAATATCGTGTAAATATGGGATTTTTTAAATTTTGTAGGTCAGTTGTTTTTATGAATATGATGATTGGTTGTTTTTTCAGAATGTAGATTTCTATATATACTGTTTGTCTATGAAGTGTTTATAGTTTCTTCCGTTTATTTAATGAGATCCCTGAAGTACTCATCTGCTTTCTTCCTCTCCCCCTCCCCTCCCCAATGTCTTTTCAGCTGGCAGGAGGGATCATTCTTGGTGTCGGGTTATGGATTCGTCATGATTCACAAACCTCCCTAATCTTGCAGTCATCACTAGAAGACCAGCCCGCTCCTAACACATTCTACATTGGTAAGATTAAAAAAAGCTATGTAACTAGGATTTCTAACATAATGGGAGGGAATCAAAAGTCAAATTATTTGGGCTTGTTATTTTTTCCCCCCTTTGCATCTATGGAGCCTCTGCAACTGACCATCACTGAATTACGGGAGAAAAAAAATCCTACTTCCTTGCTTAACATCTATTTATTTGTTTATGCTATTTTTATAGTTGCCCATTTCACAAAAATGATTCTAGGTGGCTTACTAAATTAAAACACAAGCCATCAAATACAACACATGCGCATAGATACATATCCATATTCAAAGATAAATAATTGAACCCATTCACTATCAGCAGTACCACCTGGCCCAAATGACTAGGAAAACAGAACTCCAATGCTTTGTCAAAGGGTAACAAGAATTGGAGCCTTCTGAATCTCCAGTTATCTCCATTGTGGGTTAACACATTTCTTACTGGCTTGAGAAGAGTAAAAGAATAGAATGCCTCTTTCTGATCCCCTGTTCCCCACCCCCATGCCCCCCACCCCAAAATGAGCCACAGGAAAATAAAATATAAGAGCAAACCAACAATTCATAACTGGATAGATTCTCAGAGGTCGTCCATTTAAATCCATAACTGTTGCAGAACCATTATTGCAAATCTGATGGGTGTTCATCCTACTTTTTTTTCTGTTTACAACCTGTAATCCCTTAATTCTGGGTAGGGTTGGGGCAAGTGAATGGAGCCGAGTGTTTACTGGCAGGATACCCTTCCTGATGCTTACGTGGAGTTTGCAACAGATACTTTCTCTTAGTGCCATGAGAGAGAGAAATCAGTCGTTATCTAGGATTGAACTCTCAATCTTCTGAGGGGGAGACAAGCATCTTCACTACTAGGCCATAACACCTCTCTGTAGTTCATTCCACTGCAACCCAAAAATACTTATGAAAAGAGATTTCACATTTCAAGACAGTCTGTTCCACAGTTGAGTGCTTATATTATCAAGTGACTCAATCTTTATGTTTAACTTTTTATTATTCTCATTGCTGTTTAATACCCATTGGTCCAAGTTGTCTTTCCCTCCCCACAAACAAAATAGGATAAGAGGATAATAATAATAGAAAAAGACTTGAGTCTCAGTTTCACTGACATTTAATTGTCAGAACTAGTTATGTGCAAGACAAAAGTCTTGTTGCCAGAATGTTCTGTTTTCTTCTAGAACGTTAGGTTTTATCTCAAAAAAACTGGCATAACTGAAAATCTCAGGGAAATTTATATATTTTGAGGCTAAATTGCAACTGGGATAAAATGTACCGCTTCCTGTTCTAATAGGGGTTTGCCAGTGGAGTTCAAAAAGAGAAAAAGACAATAGAAGTGATAGAACAAGAAAGAGCTGTATACCAGGAATTGTGTGCTGACCTGCATGATACAAGGAGATTATTTTGAGAGATATTGATTACCCAGGTGAATAGCTGAGGGCTCATTCACGCAGACACCTTTCCTCAGCTGTAAAAGTCCCTCTTATACCAGGTTGAGGACCTTTACTCACAGGAGAACCTCAGTCTCATTGTCAGCCTGCTGCTGAGCTAGGCTGAAAATGTTCCTCCAAGATGTTCCTACACAATAGTAGTATTTTCCTTGGCAGACAAAAGATTGGAGACAATCTTTGTCACATGGAGGAAGAAAGTTGCCAACCCCAATTGCCACACTTTAGCAAGAAGAGTTCTGTGCCTCCTTGGCCATTTTTGCTGCGGCTGTTGGAGAGCTTGTATAGCAAATCAGGTTTTAATAAAAAAAAAATAAGGGCTTTTGGCAAGAGAAATTAGTGGAAAAGGAGCCCAAGTTGAGTGGGAGTTCCCAAAAATGAGCTACCAAAAGTGAGGTATTGTGGGGTCCTTAGTGCTTTCTGAGCTTGGTTGTTTTCTTGCAGACGTTTCATTACCCAAGGACTAGCACTGATGGTGTTACCTAGCTTGGGTAATGAAACTTCTGCAAGAAAACAACCAAGACCTCATTCAACCCCAAGCTATAAATATTCTCCTTCATTAGGAAGAGAATTGTAAAAATTGCAAGAGTTGTGCTAACATTTAAGATAGCCACCCTGCATTCCTCTGGACCTGAGGATGAAGAGCAGGAGGAGGAAGATCTGAATCTGAGATCATGGCATGTGATGGTAGTGGTAAATGAGACACAGTCATGAGTGAGTCACTCACCGTAACCAAAGTAGGACACAGAGCTACTAAGGACATGGTAAGTGAGCATAGTAGAGCTATTCTGAAAACTTATGCCTTACTGTGTGGGTGTTCCACGCATCTCATGATATAGTCATGTTGGCCACATAACCACAGAAATGTCTTGGTTGGAAGTCACTGGCTCCCTCGGCTAAGAAACAGAGATGAGTACCACCCTCTAGAGTCAGACACAACTGGAAAGGGGAAACTTACTTTTTACCTTTAGTTTGAGAAGAGGGGAAATCTTGTAAGAAAAATAAAACTGTTCTGAGGCTGAGCATGTTTAGAATGTAAGTTACTCTGGGACCTTCTAAGTAGGTTACTTCGATATTTCTGCCAATTTCCCTGGGGAGAGGCCAGCACCGAGTTAAACACTCACCGTTCTGTTTTCTGATTCAAAGTAAGAGTAAGTAAAACTAATACAGAACTTACACCTATTCGTTTAATAACTGCTTAAAGTTACAGTGGCACTGAAAAAAAGTGACTTAGGACTGGTTTTCACTCTTATGACCATGGGTGCTTGGCCCCTAGCATGTATTTATGACAGTTTCACTATCCTGGGGTCATGCGATTGCCATTTGTAACCTTCCCAGCCAATTTCTGACAGACAAAGTTAATGATGGAAGGCAGATTTGTTTAATGACTGCATTCACTTATCATTCTTTTGATTCACTTAACAACCGTGGCAAAAAAAAGTCATAAAATAGGGTGCAGCTCACTTAACTGTCTTGCTTAACAATGGAAATTTGGGGCTCTAGTGTGGACATAAGTTGAGGACTACCTGATTGTCCCTCTTCCTGAATTCTGAAAAATAAAAATTTCAAAGTAGCAGTAAAACTAGAGAGACTATACCAGACTATACCAGTCTAGAAACTGGAACACCATGAGTTCTACACCTGTCTTAAGAACACAGCCTGCTGTATGACCTTGGGCCAGGCACTTTCTCCTAGCCAAAGGAAAAAGGCAAGGGCAAACCATTTCTGAAAAGCACTGGCCAAGAAGATTGCAGGAACTAGTCCACCAGGCAGTTGCCAGGAGTCAACAGTGACTTGAAAGCACCTTAATAAATGCTAAAGCTAGGCATCTGGGAAACCTACCCAAACTTTTTTTTTCTTTTGAAACAGTCTATGTTTGGCAGTTTAAGCAATATTTTTAAAAAGCTCTGCTTAGATTCCTTAAGTTATTTGTCATTTCCTTTTAATAACAATGCCTTTTCTACACCTGCTCCATAGCCATTTTCCCAGATCTTTCATGATATACAACTGGGATTTTTGCTCCACCTGGTTTGCTCCAAATTCTTCTTCTCATTGTAATTTTCCTGTTTCCTGGAGGAAAAAAAAAGGCACATGCCGCTGCATTACTCACTTCTGCCCCTGTTCTTTACAACATATCTCAGATGTTTTTCAGACATATTCGAAAGTAAAGCTGCCTTATCCAAGAAACATCCTAGTGATTGGGACTCATTTTAGAAAAATACATAGATTTTTTTTTATACACTGATGTGCTTTATTTTATGGTATGCCAAATTTTAACAGTTTATATATATAATTTGTCAGTGGAAAGTTTCCAATATATAACATAGGGTGTTTGATTTCTTTGGGAGATGATGAATGAGGAAATACGTGTCCAATGTATAAATGAAATGGCACAAACAATAGCCATTTAATATATATATGGTAATTATGCTAAAGTTCTTTTTCTCATACCACAGTCCTTATCACACATCTCTAGAAACTTCCTTTGCTTATTTTGTAGTCACTGCCAACTAACATATGATCCTCCATTTCCTCCCCTGCTCAAAATTTTTTCTTAAAATAAAAGTTGAAATTTCCAGGATTGTATTCCATCTGCTGAATTTATCCAAAAGTTCTAACAGAGTCTTTTAGTTAGATAACTCTTAGAATTTGCACCCAGAAAGTGCTCAAAGCCAGAAAGAACAAGGCAGTTTCTTTAGAAGCCAGTTGGTTATTTCATCAAAGACAAGAAGGTGATTTATTATTTTATGGTACTTTTGATGCCTATGTGAGGGGCTCTGGTGCCAAACTGAACTGAATGGACTTGGGTCTCTCTACTCCAGAATAGCTGTGGCATATCCTGGCCAGTTTTAAAAAAGCTTGATGGTAAAATATGTAGAAACGTCTCCCAAATTATTATTTTTTTTGGGGGGGGGAGCCAATCATTGAAAAAGAATTGCCTGTTACAGTCACATTTACCAAAGTTTAGACTACAGACAGCACTTGGGGGTACACTGCCTGAGGAATGGGAAGCAAAAGGTAGCCACAAAAGACCTCAGAAAATAGGTCTCTTGGGTGTAAACTCTTGGCCGGGTTTGGGCCTGGATTATTTCCTCTCCCTTCTCTGAGCTGGAGTTCCTTGCCTGCTAGAAGAGATGTGAAGAGATGTCTCCCACTCCATCATCCTCTTTTTCTCTGTTTCTATTCCAGCAGTTTTATTTCCACCCTGGGAAGCAGCTGTATGTTTCTTTCCATGATAGGAAAGGGAGGAGGGAGGGTTTGCTCTGTTCCATCTCTGGCTGGGTCTCCAGGCTGTAGAGCCTGGTTACTGTCTGTGGAAGAAGGGGGAAAAAAAAGAGTTCCTGGAAGTGAAGCAGAGACAAACATTCAGCAATAGAAAATGGAGGGGGGTGGGGAAAAGAAGCATTTCCCTTGTAACAGTGCTAGGATCCAAAGATCAAACAATCTGCAACCTGAAATTATGAGATATCTAGAGCAGGACAACTCAAGATTTTTGGTTTTTCTTTGTAGATGTTTCACTTCTTATCCATACTGAAGAAGCTTC